TGCAGGCGAAAAAGGTGTGCGCGATGCCAGTATCGCGTACTCCCAAGCCATTGTTCGACCGTTTCAAGCTTTTTGGCCCTCCCTCCCGCCCGGGGGGAAATCAGCTTCGCTTCACCTCTTGCATCCCTAGGGTTTAGGCCCCGTTCCTCTTTCGGTTTAGGACTGCCCGAACCCAGGCCTTGCATGTCGGTGGCTGGCTTTGTACAGGTGACTTCTCGCACCAGAGGGAGACTTCGAACTTGCAGGCGAAAAAGGTGTGCGCGATGGGGTTTAGGTTTTATGGGGCATGCTTTATACTGTTGCATCCTTGCAGGAGCTCTGCTATGATTCATGCCTTTGACATCTTCCGGCCGTAAACCTTAAACCCCACACCCCTAAGCCTCAAACCCTAAGCTCCAAGTTCAAAGACAACCAGGGTTAAACCCGCGTAGAACCAACAGAAAAATCTAATTAACTAAGTGTACGAATCCTCGCAGAAACCACTAATTTTGGGGCCGTAGCGATGTGAAACATGCTTCGGGGCATGATCGTGCGAGGAGCTTTGAGGAATACCATTAGCAACCCTCCGATCCCCATCGTTGATGACCTTTGAAGAGCTACACAAAGTCACTGACACGAACAGACCCCATAAGCTCTTTTGAAAACCCAAGCTCTTAAAAAAGTAGCGAAAGCCGATAACGCCCTTTCAATCGCCAAATACTGAAGCGGCTGTTTTGCTTAGTGGTGTGCCCGGCTTTACGATAAAAACCGAGGAAGGCTAAGTGTAGGCATGCTTGATCTAAGCGCTACAATGACACTGTGACTGCCACACAGCAGGCCTGACTCAACATGAGCCCTTTGACAGTCAATGCCCCAGCGACACGGATCGGCATACCCCAGCGACACGGATCGGCTGTTTGCTTAGTGGTGCGTCTAGCTTAGGGCAGGAGAAAACCCAACGTCGGCCAAAGAAGGAAGGCCCGAACAAGCTACAACCACGACACTTGAAACTATGACTGACTCTAAGAACGATCGTTTGATTATTTTGTCAGCTAGTGCCCAATCAAAAACTTGTACAACCAAAAAACTGAGAAGGCAAGACAATAAACGAAAAGTCCAAAAACGCGAAAAACCCGAAAAGTCGAAAAACACGTAAAGTCCAACAAGTGCAAGAAAAGTCGAAGAGCGTAACAGTCCGAAAAGTACCAGAAAACGCGAAAAGTCGAAACGTCAAAACGCCCAGAAGAAAAAGTCGAAAAGCCCAAAAAGTCCGAAAAGTGCAAGAAAATCCGAAAAGTCAAAAACTTTTCGACTTTTTGACTTAGACTTTCGAATTTTGTTTCGGTTCTCCGCTTATGGAAACCAACGCTTGCTTGCGTACTTAGATAAGCGGGTAATTTCAGGTTAGGGTCAGCCAAAAAAAGTTCAGGTAATGACTGAGTCAAGGGAATCTTTGTGTGTTTGTGAAACTTTCTGGCTCAGAGCATGGGGTAATGGCCATTTGACTTTTTGGAGTTTCGGGTTTCGGAAGTGCAGGGACGCCGCGGATGCTCAACTTGGACTGGTGCAACATGGTGCAACCAAGCCCCAGTCATGCATCACAGGATATGACCGAATGAGCTGCAAACAACAGCCCCGGTGTTCGGTGTTCCTAGGATAAGCTCTGCGCATGGCAAGGCGTACACCGCCCCTGTGTGAAGGATTCGCCAACACTTGGCATTCGCAACAGCATCTGCAGCCAAAACAGGGCAGCAAGCTTGTGCCCAGCAGCTACTCAATCACCGTATCGGCCTCGTTAGACGTCCTGTTCCGGGGATAAATGGGGTCACGCCCACCTAACATGTCCAGCAGTGCTTGCATTTTTCTGGCACAGTTCTTTACTTCACACGACCTGCAGGGAGGGCGGGACTTGTGTCTGACAACACTCATGTGGATGCATGTGGGCAGCTGCACGTTACCAGTCATTTGTACCGGCAATACAATTACAAAGCTGGGCCCCTTGCGGCATCGGATTGGAAGGTGATCCCGCCTTGTGGCGCCAAGATTAACAGTGTACCAAGAGGAAAAAGGGTTAACGATTTTTCGCAGTCGTTGGGCCATCGCTTTTTCAAGCAGGCACCTGCGTGAACGCAGCAGCAGGAGCAGGTCGTGTAGTGCATCGTAGCTTGAATCCATCCTCGACAGGCCGGGCTTCACCAAGTGAGAGCTTCACTTTTCATTGTTCATGGGTAAATCATGAGCGGACTGCATGTTTCGGGGGTTGCGTCCAGCGCTCAAAAGCTGTGGGGAAACATACCTACAGCTCGTAGAATCACAGGACGCATCGCAGGACGAAGCTGTCACGTTATGGGTGTGGCAGTGAGATTCCCAGCCTAAAGGCTAGGGCGGGTCCACGTCTCACTAAGCTTCCAAAACTACGGACGTACTGTAGTGCTCGGGCTCGTCCGAATCTGAGCTCAGGCAGTGACAACCTGAGCCTCGTCTCATGCCTGCCGTGCCTGCCGTACGACCGCGCCAAGCTGATGCCGCATGGCGCCACGTGCGGATGCCGACGCAGTTCGGCCTTTCGAAAACCGGCGCTAGACCGAGAGATGGGTGTGCGAAAACGGTCTTGGACCTCGTTCGATCCCCGACCACTCCTTTTGCACCTGCTGGCAAAGCAGAGCAAACGCAAGCGGGGCTTAGCAACAAGAACGAAGTAACAGAAGGAATTGCCGGGTGAAGGAAGGGGTCCAGAGTCGTGGTGCTCAAGCATCAATTTGGGTCGAGCATGTCGGCGCGAAAGAGTGAAGAGATGTGAAGAGGTTTGCGGCCCTGAAGCAGGTTACGCTCAAAAATGCCAACGACATCTTGCCAGAATGCAGAGGTATTTGCGTTTGCCAAGTCAAAGGGCATGGCCGCTTGCTTGTATTGCGCAGCGTTCAATGCAAGCCGTCCGTTTGCGAAATTGACTATGTAGCTTGTGCTTTTGGCCAAGGATCGGATTCCTGCTATCTGGATGTGGGGAAAGAGGCAGCAGCTGAAGCGGTTGGAATCCTGCGTGACAAAGTCAAGGGCGACACGATCCAGATCTCACTTTTTCAGGCCTGGTGCTGTAAGACAAACGGCTTGTGTACCTTGCCTTCTTACTTCTTGTTTCCATGAGGAAGCACCTGTTTCCGAGAATTTGCTGGGCAGCCTCACCTTGGACCCCGAGACCATGCGGGCTGGATGTGCTAGCACGGTCAAGATGCTTGGACCCAACGTGTGCTGCATGGAAGCTGCGACTCAAGCGGGAGCTCATGTCGATGTTGTATACGACAGCATGGAGTGCAGTGCAGGCTGCCACTGGTGTCTGGTGGCGAGGCCAGCGTGGCACATGGCTTGAGCGCAGAGGAGAAACAAGCCAAATCGCAGGCACAACTTCTTCTCGAAGTTGCGGAAGCCATTTCGTCCACGGCCCCTGGGCATCGCGAAGACTTGTGCAAGTCCAGCTGTGTCGTTTAGGGTTTAGAGGAGATGCCCAGGCTCAGGAGATGTCCAAAAACCAGGCTCGTTGCGGACTTCTCGCAACCAGGCAAACCTAGGCTCAGTGTGTGCAGGGCCGCAGGTGGCAGCTCCTCGACGACAACCTGACGCAAAAAGTCGGAATCAAAGCCGAGTGCCGAGCTGAGCGCAGGCTTGGTGCAGTCGTGACATCTCAAGTGTAAGCTTGTCAAGCTGCTAAGCCTGATGTTGAGGTCCTCCTCTGCCACATTAGGACAGGATCCAACCAAAGACATCGGGGTATGCAGAACAGTCAGCACCTCCTTGCGGATGCAAGCTTCAATGTCTCTTCAGCCTCGCGGGTGCTTCTTCCATTCAGCAACGTGCTTCCTGCAAGGACAGTGCCAGGAGCAACCCGAAAGTGAAAACTTGGCGTTGCAGATTGTCAAGAGCCAGTGGTTCGATCGCCTTTGCGTCGACATCTTACAGTTGGTGTGCAAGTAATCCCAATGCTCCCGTTTAAGATACGTCAAATGCGGACATTCTCCATGTGCTCAGGCCCTTCTGATTGTCATCAATGCGGTGAGTATTGGTCTGGAGGTGGAGCTCGTGGCAAACAACGTGGTGCCTGCATCCTCCACGGCATTCCGCACCTCGCAGATCCTGTTTGCGCTGCTATTTGGTCTTGAGCTCGCCCTTCGCATGCTGGCTTATGGCGGTCGTTTTTTCTCAGATCGCATTGACAAGCCGTGGAACCTGTTCGACGCGCTCATCGTGTCATTTTCCACAGCTGAAATTGTGCTCAGCCTGTTCATAAGGGATAGCACTGCGACCTTGTCGGTGGCGCGTTTTGCGCGAATCATACGAGTGGCTCGGATCATTCGGGTGACTCGCTTCTTTCGGCAGCTTCGAACATTAGTGTACACCATACTTCACACTTTGACATCTCTTTTTTGGACCGTCCTAGTGATGATCATCATTATCTATCTTTTCTCGGTTGGCATCACAGCGGCTGTCTCGGAGCACTTGCAGCGACAGCCCGAGCCTACCGTCACTTAGCTGAAACGTTTGTGACGGCTTCGGAGTTTGAGGGCCCGAGTCCACAAGGCCCTTTTAGTTTTGGGACTTCGTTTCAGAGGCGATGCATCCCGGGTCGGAAGTCACGAGATGTAGCGGCCGTGTCAAGAGCAGCTGCGGATCATGAAGGGTGCTACAGATGTGTGCAGGAGCAACCGACGTTGCTGCCCCTCCGCCCTTGCATTGCCCCAAGTACACTAGACTCACTAGACTCAGTTTCAGTGCCCCTCAAATGGATGGACCCTCACGCCCAGGCGCAGAGGGATCGACTTTGGGAGGACTTCGGCACGATCGCCCGAACAGCTTACACTTTGTTCAAGGCAGTTTCAGGCGGTGTGAGCTGGGGAGAACCAGAAGCCTGAGCTGAACAGTGGCACAGTAATTTCAGTTTGAGATGCTTTGTACGTTTGACATACAGACGGCATCGTCCGTGTTGTCCAGTGACCGTGTGTCTGATTTGGATCGGAGCAATCTCAGGCGGCGGATCTCCTTCCTGTGGGACCTCTGTACTTGTTCTTGCATCGTGTCTGAACCACGATCATGGCCGTTTGTGGGGCACCTAGGATGTTTTTCATGCTTCAACTGCGAGGCATTACCGCCTTGTAAGCAGCCTAAAAAGCAAAAGCATAAGATATTGCCGGCTACGTTCAAACCAGTCCTCACATGGTTTCGATGCTGCAACCACAACGCAGAAACAATTACACGGCATTGGCGAGCGCTACGTTCCCTTCCTGCGCAGAACGGTTGGTATATGTGCGAATTAAATTAAAGCATCGTGCTATTCCCGTGTTACTAACAAGGAAGTTTACAAACAGGCTATCAACCAAGCTCCCTTCCGACCTCCTTGCAGACCTTCAGTTTAAGATACTACAAGAACTCTAGTCTGCCACACCGATCCAGAAAGCCCTCTACACAACGTTGTGTTTGCTGCTGCCGTCAATGACAGAATCATCTATGAAACATTGCTCGACCACATTACCAGAACACACTTTCTAGGTCTCCTAAACCCCTAAGAACCCTCACTGGAAGTATGGCTCCAGCAATCGCAGTGTTTGGGCTGTTGGGAAGACCGTTTCACGCTCGAGGCGTCGCTGCAGCTGAGTAGAGAAACTGGTCTTGCTTCCCGGGGCCGGCTTGCCTTCCTTAACTCCCTGCCCCAGCAGTGAGAGAAACCTCCTTGCTGCATTCTTCCCTTTGAGTTGCAGCCCTTCTCCCTGATGCTGGTCTGCGGTTCCCTGGGTCGCTTCATCTCGCGGTTCCCTCTCCCGATGCACCACGACTGGCTGCTATTGTCTTGCCCTTTGTGCGTGACCAAACATGTTCATCTTGAGGCGCAGATTTTGAAGTTCATGCTGGCTTGGCCACTGGTAGCCGCTTCTGGGTCTCGGGACCGGGCTCGATGACCGGACTGACCTGACCGACCTGAATGGTTACCTGACCGGATGACCGGACCGACCTGAACGGTTGACCAGACTGACCTGACCGACCGGAACAGGTGACCGGACTGACCTGACCGGGTGACCGGACCTGACCGGGTGACCGACCGACTGGAACAGGTGACCGGACTGACCTGACCTGACTGACCTGACCGGATGACCGGACCGACCT